GCTGTCTCTGGTGGTGTCACCTCAAAACGGGCAAAGAAGAGGTTCAACTCCTCTGCTAACGAGATGTCACCTTCAGCAGCTCCAAGGTTGGCCCTGTAGTTGATGAGATGATGGACTCCCTGCAACACCTGCCTGCTGTTGTTACTGCCAAGGTGGTCCTCAATCCTCCTCCTGTAATCTGATTTGGCCTCTCTGATGCCTCTCTTTAGCTTAGCTCGGGCCGTGCTGTAGAGAGCCCTGTCCCTGGACCTGAACCTGAAATGGTAAAAGTATCACTGTTTGTACCAATAATTTATTTACACAGGTTAACCTACAGGAGCCTACACAGACTAGGCTACGGTCTGCTGTGCTTCCACCAAAAAAAAAAGCAATGATGCCAAAACAATGCCTGTACAGTAAGTGTTAGTAGTTATTAAGTAGCAGTTTAAATGTAATGTAATGTAGTAAGCAAGTGTAGACCATCTTTCCTCAAAACTTCAAAGCAAACTTTAGTTTGAACTTGTAAAACATGTTCTACACCCCTTACTCTTTTACCTGACACACTTACGAAGAGTCTCGAACCAAAGAGCTTGAGCAGCAGAGACAGGCTTACAGATGAGAGGAAGGACACTGTCTCCAGCGCTGTCATTTCAAAAGGCGTGAATGCATTATCCAACCGTTACTCTGCACTGGAGAAGAAAATCTCCATGAACACCAAGGCTATTACCAACATATGTGAAGAGTTGAAAGGAGTACAGATCAAAGTCAAAGTCAAAAAAAAAAGTTTAAAAAAAAAGTTTTATGCCTGGCTACAGAGAAGAGAGGATGCAGGAGGATACAGTAGGAAATAGCCCCTTCAGCTATACAGCATCTGAGACTTGCAATGAAGATGCAAGAAAAGATCGCTGCAGAGGACAAAGAGAATCCTGGCCTTATAATGCACAATCTGCATTTCACGGTAACAACAAAACAATGTGTCATCAGTTCAACATGATCATAACTCTAACATAGTTTAGGGTTAATCATTGTTTGCTGGGCTCTGAGAATGTTTATCTCTTGAAATGCCTTCGTCTTAATACATCAAGATGGGACCATTGTTGTCTCCCTGTAGACTGTGAAACTCCGCAGTCATGGCTTTCATTAGGTAAATATAGCAAAGCAGTTTTATGCAGAACAACTATGGAATTTACTAGACTTGCCAAGAGCTTATGAAACAGTGCAACATATTTTCTACCTCTGTCTACTTTCAACAACGCTAACAAAAAACCTTTGGTGAACTGGCGATGTTGTTGCGACAGAATGGTATTTACTGAGTTGTAACGTTCTTAAATTATACTATAATATTCCTCTAACAACTTTAATAAATGAGGAAAATACAACTGTTTAGACTGTAAGATACTAGCAGTGCAAAGATGTTTTCTTCAAAGTTAGTTAAGTAGCACTAAATGGAAAACTTTGTAAAGCTCTATGTGATTTCTTGACTTATTTTTCTAATGGGTAGCACACGTTTGCAAGAGTTCCTGTGCTGTTTAATAGACTTAATGCTTCAGACCTTTATTGTTTGTAATTTGTATGCATTGGTACAAATCAAGCCAGGACTATATGCCCACTCTTATGTCTTTGAAAAAGAAAAATCTCCAGGATAAGCACAAGTAAGTCTGTCTCATCATAGGGGGTGACTTTAAAAGTGCATCTAATGCCTAAAAATAGTTTAAAAGCTGTATTTCTGATTGCTTTGTTGTTGACTGCTGACTTCTAGATTAATGTAAATCCCAGCAGAGAACATGCCACTTCATCAGCTGATTAAGAAAAACCTTTCAGAGAAATGTGTTGTGGTGGCAGGCCAGCTGACGGTGAGTGTCCTGTTTATTTCTCCTTTTTTCTTGTGATTCTGTTTTTCCCTTGTGTTTTTGCCTGCCTGTCTGTGTCTCCTCTGCTCCCCTTGCTTGTGTTCTCCCTCTCTCTCTCTGCTCCTGAGCCCAGCTGACGGTCCACACCAGCACCTCGTCAGCCACCTCACCTGCCAGCAATCAACTCCATCCCTGCCAGTATTTCAACCCTGGTTCTCCACACAATCTCTGCTTGACCTGGTGCCACTACTTGACTCAGGCTTTTTATCTTGTACCGTCCCTGTTTCCCGGTCACTAACCCTGTCTGTCTCTGCCCAGGTTCACTCACCTTCCTCTCCTGTTGTGTCAGCTCGGCTCGCCAACCTGCCCTCTTCCCTCGGACTTCCTCCACGGCGTCCTCCTGGCTCCCCCCCATGCGTCACGGTCAGCCTGCCACCACACTCCTCCACCAACCCCCCCCCGGTCAGTTCTCCCGTGCCTCCTCTCTCCCTCAGCCCCCGGTGCCTCCCAGTTCCCTCGTCCCGGCCCGCTTTGTCCCGCCTGCTCCTCGACCCCCCGGTGTTCCTCGGCTCCTTTGCCTCTGCCCCCTCTGCCCTACTTGCTGCTCGGTCCCCCGTGTTCCCCCAGCATCCACCTCTCCCTCACCTCCCTCTTTCCCCTCAATAAAAACCTGTTTCCCCGGAGCGTTGCTTTTGGGTCCTCTCTGTCCAGCACACACATAACAAAATGTCTTGTGTTTGGTCAATAATTTGACTTAAATATATAAAATTTTTATTCCTACTTAGCTTAGTTCCAAAGTAAAAAATTATTAAAATATGTGTGTAATAAAGAATATAACATTTGGTTCACAAAATAATTAAAAAATATTGTGCAAATGTTTTTCTGTATTGTGAAATCCAGCTCTATTAAATATTTTCCTATAACCCTTGAAAGTAAATTTGCTTTTATCATCGTAACAACTTACTTTACACCTCTGATGTGGATTTAATAGCTGAAAAGTGTAAAGCAGCAGTAATAATAACCTGGTAAACTGTACTAGGGCAGAAACCATGTGTAATGATGATACAAGTTCTGCGGGTTACAGTGCCTTGCTTGCACAAATAGCCGTGTTCGTGAGAGGAAGGCGTATCACATTGCCAAGAGTCAGACTCTCTGTGGTTGCCCCGACCAGAGATAAGCTGCTAAGCTGCAGATGAAAGTGTGTGTGTGCATGTTGCATGGTGAGCAGCTGTGGTCAGCCAGATTTGGGAACCCTCTGTGACACAGTGGTTTACTTCACTATATGCACACACACCCTTGTCACTATCTACGTGGGGATCTGCCATTGACATAATGCATTTCCTAGCCCCTAACCATAACCATCACAACTAAGTGCCTAACCCTAACCTAATTCTACCCCAACCCTAAAACCAAGTCTTAACCCTCAAACAGCCCTTCAAATTTTATGGCATTTTACAAAGCTGTCGGTCCCCACAAGTATTGTGGGATCCCAGGTTTTGGACCACATAAATACAGTAAAACAAGCCAACATGCACACACACATTTCTCCTTCATATTAATCCAGCTCACATACTGGAAATTGAAAATAAAATAGTAGATCAAAGGGAAAGATATGCCTGACAAATCAGAAGAGAGATAGACAGAAGAGATAAATTATTTTCAATGACAAAGGAAAACTGAATTTGGTCTAGTTTTATGAAAGTACACCAGGTAACCCCAAATGTCTTCTTTGGATCTTATAGGGCCCATATGGACAAAAGTGGCAATGTTGCTCACTATCACTTCAGAGTTCTCCCCATGGGAGGACAGGATAAATATAGGTATGGATGGATGGATGGCCCCATGTAGTCGAGCTTTTGTAACAAAGTGCATCTTCAAAAATAGCTGATGACAGTATCAACGTAAATACACTGATAAAAATGAAAATTTTGCACCTGTGTTCATCTAAAAAGTAACCACTAGTTCAACTTTTTGCAGGTAAAGTTCATCTACTGACAGAGAATGAGGAAGACAGTGACTGGCGGATTGGTGTGACAATCTTGGCTATATGACAGCAGTTTCAATTAAGATAAAGTATAGTTCAGCATTTTGGGAGATTTGTGTATCTGCTTCCCTACCTAGAGCTAGAAGAGAAGGTTGATGCCACTCATGTCTGCACAGTAAATACAAAGCTACGACTACAGACGGTTAGCTTAGCATAGCATTAGGACTGGAAACGGGGAAACAGCTAGCCTTGCTCTGTACACCATGACAAAGTTCTCCATCCACCACCTCCAGACCATGGGCCAGACGTGTGAACTTCTTAAAGTCTCTGCTTTTTTTTCTCCACCAGAGTTTGTCATTTGACAGAGACCAGTTTTGCGTCCAGTTGTTGTTTGTTATATTATGTCCATATTGTAAAACAGATGTAATGTTAATATCTACACAGTAATATGCACACGCACAGTAAAAATTAAATAAAATGAGCCCATGAGTCAGTGAGTTTATAAGGAACAGGTTCATACTTTAATAAAAGGGCATTTTCCCTTGGCACAGATCTGCTATCAAATAAATAAAGCAATTAATCAAGTACAGTCTAAATAAACTAACAAAGTCATGAAAAAAAACATTAGGAGGGAGGGGGAAAAGAAAAAACAGCTAGTGCTAAACAATTTGCTTTTACAACAAACACCAAGTGAAAGTGTGTCTGTGTGTGGAGAAAGAGAAACAGCTTGAGTTACAGATAGATAATTATACCTCCCTGCTAAGTGGGATTGGCGTGGCAGATAATGGGAGTACTAGCTGACAGTAGGCAAGTGAGACAGTTACTTAATCATAAATAAGCCTTATATTGTTTCTACATAATGCTGGTTTATCCTTTTTGCAGTCCATTATTTACATCAGAGTTTTAAAAATTTCGATACAAGGATCTTACAAAACAAATCAGTGGTGCAGTACATATTGTATTAACATGGAGTGGTGGCTCTGAATACTGGAAAAAACAGGACAGAAGATGGTGTGATGATTTGAAAAACAATATATATATAAAACAAAACATATATATACACATACATATATACACACACACACACACACACACATATATATATATATATATATATATATATATATATATATATATATATATATATATATATATATATATATATATATATATATATATATATATATATACACACACACACACACACACACACACACATATACATTATATATAAAAACTGCTTTCCCAACTCTCAACGAATAGTGCTGTGGTGCTCTCGAGCAAAGCATATCACCTCCGGTTGCTCCAGTGATGCTGCTTTGAAGTCAAAAGTAAGGAAGTGTGTTTGTACTGGGCAGATAGTACGAGGTCAGGTAATTTTACGAATGTAAAGCAGGATTTTAAAAAAAGAGGAGTTCTGCCTGTTCAGTAAAACTCTGTCCGGGTAAAAGAAGTTAAAAAATTACAACCTGGCTATGGATCTGACCGAGCCTACCGCCCAAATTCCTTCAGAAGCTCAGGCTCACCATGTCCAATCGGACCACCCTGCAAGACGAACAGTCGCCTCCATGCTGTCCGTTCACACAACCAGACCATTTACATACTACTTATATTTGGAGAGTCACGCTGGTATCAACACTGTTTCGGGTGAGGGGAAACCATTGACAGAGGAGTTACAGTGTTATGAAGGCTCCAGCAGCAAGGACTTGTTGTCTGAGAAAAGCGGTGTGAGGTGAGGAAGCTGTGGTATGGAGCGCAGCTGTGATCCCCCTCAGGGAATGACTCCGTTTCCACCGCCAGGTCCCGTGAGATGACCCGTCTGACTGGTGCCTCTGCTAAAGGACGGCCTGCAGCTGTGAGAGGGCACTGCAGGGCTGAGCGCAAGACTGGCATACACTGCATTCTTGCTCTTCACAAACACATGCACACGCTTATGGCAGACTAACAAATCAAGCTTGGCGGATATAGTAACCACAACAACTACCAGTTTCTCTGGATGGATAAGGCTTCCCTTGAGCACAACACCTAAACCTTAACAAAAGACTGTGGATGTATAAGGTTTATAAGTTCATTTATAAATGTGATGCTGGGAATTGCTAAAAAGAAAGCCAACCAAGAACACCTGGGATAAAACCTAACTAACTATCCTGGAACATGCATCTGCATGTTTATGGCCGCGCCCATAGAGCATCATGAGATAGGATGAACAGACGGTCCCTGATGCTGGCAGGAGAGCAGCAGTTGGCTGAGCTCTGAGGCCACATGGCGGCACGGTGAAAGACCTGCTGACAGCTGGGGGACAAGAAGATGCCATGGAAACAGAGGGAGCAGCCGTGTGACCCCAGCCAGCGCCAGGGGTTGGACAACGGAGCTGCTACGAGTTAGGGAAAGTGCCAGCCTGCAAGTCAGAAAATTAATGTCCAAAAAGTAAACCACGGTGCTGGGCAACTCCCAGGTGTGAATTATGTATAACTGCTTGGACCTAGGTGAAAAATGACACGCAAGCTCAGCAAAACAGTTCCCTGCATAAAAAACTGTTAAAAAAACTCCTTAAAGGCACAACCTCCATACTGATGAATGAATACACCAACCTCTAACTGGCTGGATGTAACAGGGTTTCAATTTATGCTAATATGCCCGAGCCAGAGCCTGGACTGGAGAATTCTCTTGCACTGATGTCAAGATCACACCATCTCTAGTTTTGCTTTTAGGTGTTTCATGGGACTGAGGACATGTCCGACTGGCCTCCAGGAACAAGACAAGAGCTTTACAATGGATGTATAGTGATTTCTGTTATAAATACAGCCACGTATATAAAAATAATTCCTTGTTTGTTGGATGTTTGCGCGATATCAGCAGGGAGGACAGTCAAGCATGCGCTCTATAAAATGTGTGTATGTGACGCGAGGTCGAGCTACTGCGCAGCACTGTCCAGAGTTGGGATTTCAGTCATTCAGGATTCCAGTCACGCATCTAATCACGTGTTGAGACAGTTGGAACAGAGAGAGAATGAGAGAGAGTGTGACACGGTAATACAGCTGTACATTTTCTAGTCCAAATGAGGCTGCTAGTGGTCTTAAAAAAATAAAATAAAATGCTGTTGAGAAGGTAAACAAACATAAAAGCTTCAGATGGTGAATACAAAGATATCACATTATCAATAAAGCTTATAAAATTGATAACAATATATACCCTATGTACAGTAAATGTTAGTTAATAAAAGTAAGGAGCTTTTCGACACTTCAATACTGCAGATTGCCACACAATTGCTCTGCTTTCAAAAAAGTTTTCGAAGTAATTTGAAAATAACCTCTGAATGCTTAGTCATTACAACAACAATTAGGATAAAATTAGAGGTAGCAGCAGATTTGGGATCTCTGTTCTTTTTCTTTTCTTTTTTTTTACCTTTACAACATTTCAACATTTTCCTTCCCATTTTTGCTTACGGGGTATTGCATGCTTGAATCAGAATCTTCATTTTCATCTTCAAAAACCTGCCTGACAGCCTGCTTTAAATACTCACGCACCCATGAGCGCACTTCAAGTGGTTTTTAACAGACACCAGTGTCGTGACACTCGCGCGCGCGCGCACACACACACACACACACACACACACACACACACACACACACACACTCACACACACTATGCCCTGCTCTCCTTTTACCTATATTCCTTCATATATTTTCATCTTTACGTCACAGTCTTTCTTCCTCTGGTTCCTCCATTTCCCTAAAAACATTTTGGCTTAGTGGTCTGGAAAGGTTGTGGTGCTGGTTTGGAGTCGTAGAGTTCATCAGGTCGAGGATTACAGTGTCAGGAGGAGAGGAACTTCTGGGGTGTTTATTGGATTGCCCCACTGTGCCTCCTCTCTAGCCCTAGCCGTGATCCTCAGTCCTGGCCGTACTGTGGCCCTGATTCACTGTCCTGCTGCATACCCATATGCTTTTGTTTGTCCCACCAACTTCTTTATAACACTGATTTATAAACTCAGCACTGGGACACGACTCCCATAATCCTCCTGTCCAGCCCATGTCCTATGTCCACTACAAAGCCACTGCACGATATAGGGTAGCCTGGCTAACTGCAGTCAGCGTCTGCTGGCCTGGCTGGGTTTTGTGAGGCTGCAGGAGTGCTGAGCTGTCCCAGGCAGGGTGGAAATTCAGGACTGGTAAAAGTGGTGGTAGTGGTGATGGTGTTCATGGTGGTGGTGATGCTCATGTCGCTGCACCACTTGTGCCAGCCCCCCCTCGTAGAGGAGCACGCTGGGCAGGTCTCTCACCTGCTCCTTCTCCACCACTGGTCCTGGAGCAGCCAGAGAGCCCAAGGCCCTGTAGCCCTGGCTCTCCTTGGACCGCTGCTTGTGCTTGCGGTAAGGGGCTGTGGACTGGTGAGGGGGAGTCTGGCTGGGTAGCGCTGGGGGAGGAGGGACACCACGGCTTCTCATCACCCTGCCACTGATCTGCGCAGGAGGTGTCCGACTGTGGGTCTTAGGAGAGCGGAGGGCATGTTTCCCTGAGTCTTGGCCTCGCATACGGGCAGGGTGGAGGCTGTCCGGACCAACACTGTCCACAACAGTTTGCAAGCGGCGGTGGTGGGGGTGGGAGTGGCCATTTTCTGGTTCATGGGAGCGAGAGCGAGTCTGGTTGGACAGCCGCGTCTGAGGTTCTGCCTTCGTCGGCTCCGTGGTGGGGGCTGTGAGGGAGACAGACACCGGTATTTATTTGATCAACGACAAACTTCAAGGTTGCAGGGAAACAAAAATAAGTCGATGTCAAAATGTATTACATGGGCACTCAAAGCCCTGCAGAAAAAGGAATTAAAATAACCCATTATGTGTGAATTATTGTGCCAGCAGCTCACTAATAAAGCTCCAAGATTCTGGCAACTTTACATCAGGTTCTTTCTTCATGCGGATAATTCTGACACAATGTGACATAGAGCAGATCTCTGTTAGCACTTCCATAACAGGACCAACATTAAAATAATCACATGTCATCACTAACCATCAGATCAAGGCTGCTGCTTATTAGACCTAATATTTCACTTCACAACAGCCCGTTCTGTTGATGAGCCTTGAACACTTGATGTATTGTGCTTGCCTGAGCCCAGATGTTTGTACTGGCGAGGAGCGCAGCGGGCTGGTAGTTCCACCTAATGGCTCCAAGCAGGTGCCGCAGTAATGAAGGCCCCTGGATGCAGCTTCAAAGGGCCACGGGCTGTGTTTCTCCCTCCCCTCTCCCCCCTCTACACCCCTGGCCCCGGTCCACTCACCAGCTCCGAAGCGGGATGTGTAGTTTTCGATGCCTGCCAGGTCCAAGTAGTGGTTCCTGCGTTCCAGGTTCTCATCCACACAGTGGCGCTGGCAGCCCGGCTGGGTGTGGTGGTCACTGTGGTGGCGCCTGTGGACATAAGCGGCACCTCTCATTAGGTAGCAGTATGGGCCAGAGAGGTTCAGCATGGTAGTGTTTGGAGAAAGTAAAACAAGCGTTCCTTATGATCAGGCAGTAGCAGAGTAATTGTTAGAGAAGTGAGATTGTGACTGGAAAATCACAGGTTCAAACCACAACTGGGAGTATTTGAACAGCGCAGACAGAGGGCTGACCCTCCCTTCCACCGTTAAATCCTCCTTAGTGCAGTGGAGGTAAATTTGGGCAAAACTAATAAAAGAGTAGAGGACTATTGCAGCTCCCGAGTGTGAAACCTTCCTTAAACCACCACTGCCTCTTGCCACTATAAAACAAGTTCTCTTTTAATTAAAAAATGTTATAATCAGTAATAAATAATAATAATAAACTTCATATTGTTCTTCTTGTAGACGCCACAATCTTCAACAATAGAGACAGAAGTGTACAGGGAGGTGGGTTTACCTTAGGAGAGCTCGAGTCTTCTTGTCTGCACTCTTGGGGTCTTCTATGCACTTGTCATTTTTCTCTCTGGGGTGGGACATGTCTGTATGTGTGAAAGACAGGAGGCTATTATCAAAGAGAGCTCCACGGAGCAGCACACACACACACACACACACACACACACACACACACACACACACACACACACACACACACACACACACACACACACACGACAACAGTCACACAAGCCTCAGAAGAAAGCAACCTTTGTTTGGGGGTTTTACTTTGAAGATCTATAGAAAAGGAAAAACAACAATGCTTCATTTATTCTATTCTCAACTCCCAGCCTTATAAGGCATGGAACGATATAAAAAACATGCAGACTTCAGAAATAGTTTATTAAGGACGCAAGATCTGATGCAGTTTCAAATTAGCATGAAGGCAACCGGCAATATTTTCAAAGCTTGCTCTGTTTGAATCTCTTGACGGATATTTATAGCCGAAACAATAGGACACAAACACACAGGAATATATACTTTGAGATATTTTTCCCTGACTACTTGTTTACCAAGTCGTCAGTGAGAAAAGTTAAGTTGAACGTAGCTATATTTTCCCGGCAGCTCTGAGGAGGGGGGAGGAAGAAGGGGGGCAAGGGAAAAAAGGGAACTTTGGAGAAAAGAAAAATGGCTGTGGTTATCAAAAGGACTCGGCACATCTCTTAAGGTTTCTTTCAGAGTACGTGAAGGCGCTGAGGGAGGGGGTCCTCTCTTAGCTCTGTCACTCCCCCCATCATTAAAAATGAACCCCATTGAGTGGGAGAGATGGAGCGACACCGAAACTGTGAGTTACAAAGCTCTGACAGGCCTGAAGCAGCCGCCTTTCTGCGTGACAACAAACACATCTCTGGGCGAGCTGACAGCAGGCAACACAAGGGGGGACCCCAAAATGCCCTCTCTTCTCCTCTGCCCCCACCCACTGTGTTAATGCGAGCTTTACCTGCCGCCCCCTGTGTGCAACTCCTCCACCGCTGGCTGGAGTCGGGAGCCACAGAGAGCTTGACCCGCAATGTCTTGCTGCTGCTGGGAGAATGGTTGACGGAGGCGTCCACGACCTCATAGATGGTGTGGAGCAGGCTGGTGATATCCTGCAGGACACAAGAGGTGGAGGTGAGTTTACTCTGGGCTTTTTGATGAACCGCTTCCATTAAAGTGAGATGAGAATCATTTGATCAAGTGTAAAAATAATAATCAGTAATAATGCTAAAAAAGTTGGTGACCTTGGTGCAGATTTTTAGTATACATATTTTCCAAAAAAATCAAGACAAAAGGAACATTGGAGAGTATTGTTATCGCTACAGTGTTTGAATTCACCATTCTGTAGCTTTGTGCGTTAAAACTCGTTCAAAAGCTTCACGCTAGCTAGGAATTTAAAGAAGTGACTCAGACAAGAGTGAAGAGAGAAACACACTGATGTCAGTTGTTTTAGTTCAGCTTTCCGAGTGAAGCGATCAGACAGGGCATAAAGACACGTTATGAATTTATGAAAAGGAACGTCTTGGCGGTGGCAGACGAGGCTGACTGGGATGTCAGGCCTGCTGTGAGTCGTGTTAGAGCTGTGTGAGCGCTACACTTTCTCTATTTAATTCCTCAGTGTCTCTTAGAATTACATCTGCATAGGAAGCGACAGCTGTGTACACGGTCAAATAAACGCACAACAGCATTTATACATAAACTATAACACACAATCACATGCAAAGCACTTCATGTGCAGCATGTAGGAACACGCAAGCACGCAAACAGATATTTTCATGTAACTAAGGGTCATTATAAAGATCTGACCTCAGGTCAGTAAAGGCCAAGGAAGTGGAGGGATCACAGAGAAACATAAGAGTTACAGGAACAAAGTAAAACAATTATCAATGTCAGTACTTTCAAAGTAAAAGTGATATCATGTTTACTTCAGAACAAGGTAACTGACTATATTTGGATTATTTAATTTGCAAACTTGGGTGTTGGCAACTGCGCTGGATCTTTTCATAGCAAACCACATTCTAACTGTCCATATATATTTCACCTGGAATGGATGTGAAATGAACTGAAAATAACTGATTCACACAGTACAGCTTCGCCATAAGAGCCCTTTTGAACAAAACTGCTGAGAATTAAGCCAACGCCACACAAAGACTCCAACAGCATGATTTTCACTCACTATAGTACTGTGACTCATAACAAGGACTATTATGAATTCTTCAGGGACCGGTTCCACATACTGGCTTCAGACATAGACTTTAAAAAAATAAATAAATACAATAAAATAAAAAGCTTCCTGTGTCATTTTTGGTTTTCTTCTGTTTTTTTTTTTATTTGTGTGAAGGGATATATAAAAAAAGAGTTGGAGAAGAAAGCTTTTCTCCCCCCCCCCCCCCCGGCAGCAGCCGCCTGTCGTCTCATGAGCCACGGAGCCACAGGCAACGCCAAAAAAACTGCACAGCCAACCACACGAGGACAGCTCCAGTCTCTTTGCGCTGTTTCAAGTTGTTTTCAAAAACACGGGCCTTTCTGGATGTTCCCTCAGATCTGTACGAGGCAGACGCAAGCCACAAGGTACCTTGCGGGAGCGGAAACACACACATGTTGCTGGATTTGGTTCTTAGGAGTGAGATTGGGTTGGCTCGTAACTTCTATCCTCACTTTCTTTTTGGGGCGCGGTGATACCAGAATAGGGCAAAATGTAAGGTTTCCTGGGAAGTTATCGATTGCTTCCCATACCCAAAGGGAGATGTTTTGTAGCTGTGAGCTGCTGACCAGAACAATTTTGTGACACTGAAAATCTGTGTATTCAGAAATGTTTGAATAATGTTACAATAAAACTGACAAAATGAACAGTTTTCAAGGCCTCATATTACATGATAACACACCACTACAGCACTCTTGACTTGTTAAGGTCTGCAAGAAAGCAACCAACTACAGCTAAGGTGTAGCATTAACATACATCTGTTTGATTTAATTACTTGTTCATTCATTCATTCATGAAAGATTAATCTCTGCTCAGAGCAGAAGATTTTTACCTCTCTGGTGACTTTGCCATTGTTGTCAAAATCGTAGAGGGTGAAGGTCCACTCCTGCCTGTTATCCTCCTCCACAGACACAGCACACTCCAACTCCTGAAACAGCACAACGCTGAACTATCAATATCATCCGGTGCGTACGTGAGTGTGTATTTTTGTGTGTCCTGCCATTGCCCTAGTTTCATCCAGAGAGGAAGTAATAAACGTCCTGTCCGGTGTTGACACTCACTTCAAACTGGAGCTGTTTCTGTGGCCCTGCGGGAGATTGGCTATCCCTCTCCTGCATCTTCTCCTCCACACAGCAGCTGTCTGTCTTCTCTGGGGGTAAAGCCACTGCAGTGACACACACAGACACACACAAAGATAAAAGAGAGAGCCTGAGGATGGAAACGTTGGGTGCAGTCATAACCTGAGGATATGTCGTCGCCTTCAAGTGTTCCTTGTAAGCTCCGACTTCCGAGTTTGGCAGCCGCAATTAAGATGTGTCACACATTCAAGTGTTCCTGGTTGGAAATAAACATACACAGCCAAACTCCTCACAGTTTCTGTCTCACTGCCTGTATTCTGAAATAGAACTTTTGTATTAATATTAATATATTTATTAGTAATGTAACATGTTTAAGGCAACACAGGCCCTGTTGGGCTTAGCATAAGTATTATATACACAGCATCGCCAACTTTTAATGTTGCAACTTGCAAATCAAGAATTTTGTTCAGCTGCTCTAACGCACTGAGCTTGTAGGGTGTATTTACGGTATTTGTGATAATACTCAAAGGTGACAGAAAAATCAAAGCACAATTTGGCTCTCACAGTCAAAAATGCTCTTTGGCACCGGGGAAGCAACCACAGCAAATTGATCAGTGACCGTGTGAGGTCCAGTCACGACAGGGTTCAATAATATCCAACAATATGATCTCTTTGTTTCTTTTAAGGCGCTTCTACCAGTACTGAAGTGCTACCAGATTTGAGACATGGTACCTTAATTGAACTTTTGAATTTTGTGTTTCATGTTAGGGTAACGAGTTAATTATCCCATCATTCCAGAGAGCAGAAGTACTGTTAAACAGAAACAGTGATATCAACACTGGAACTAGAGTCAAAATTGTGCAAAAAATGTTGTGACAGCACTAAGTCATCAATGGCAAAATCTGTTATCTGTCGCACATACAATAATAGTTTTTAAGCTCTTGGCTGCAGTATATTCCACTGGATTCACACACTGAGAGGGGATGTCAAACATAGGACTGAATGACATTAACATGTTTGAAACATGAAGAAATATTAGGTGGTATTCAGGTATAAATGGTGAACATCAAAGACCGATGGGTGCCACTGATGGATGCATCAGCGCAGCTTTGTTATGAAAGTTAATCTATAGGGTGATCCACACACAATGATTATAGTCCATTACAATAATCCTATTTAGACATTTGTGTAGCCCTTAATCATGATTCTGCTGAATCTAAACCTGAATGAATCTGTGTCATGCAGGGATTCCTCCAACCTTATGTTAATGGCTGTGGCCAAAGTTAATGGTGGTGTATTTTTGGATTGCACTGTATTATAAGGTGTTCCTCCCCGGTGGACAAAAATAACATAACTGTCGCTGTCTGGTTCGATGCTTAAATTTCAGTGTTGGATGTTGGCCCAGATCTAATGCTAGCGGATATCCTTCTCTGCTTTGAAATCCAGCATTTGAGACCGCAGATACACACAACGTGTAACTGAGATTTGAGAGGTGTGCATGTCGGCTCCTTTGTGAGCCTCTATGGGTTACAGTTACCCAGACACCCCTTTTGCTTCATCCTCACATATGATCATGTGTATTTTCGCAGAAGCTTGTAAAAGCTTTCACCCAGCCACAGCCCCTTTATGTTTCACCATTGGTCATTTAGTTCTGCGTGAGCACCCACTCCCCATCCAGTCCTGCAGGCCACGCACACATCCATCAACCCACACAACCACACCCGTCTCTCTCCACCCTCCCCTGCCCCTCTCTCTCTCCTCCCGCCACACTTTGAAGTCCCATTCTCAAACCTTTTGGAAAAGGATCAGACCAGCTGTAAAACAGAATCACTAATTAATTAAGCCAAGTCAAATCTGAAACACTGTTTGTTTGCTCGCCAACGGAGCAGACACAACAGCCCAATTTCTTTCCTCCTGATCCAAAGCAGATCAAAGCAGACCTGTCTCATCCCTGGGTTGGGGAAAATGCCAGAAATGAAAGGCATCATCCCAGGGAGCTTTTACCAACTTTTTGGAAAGGAGCAGCATTTGGGGTCCCGCTGTTTGATCATCTGAGGTGCTCAAAGGGAACATTGTGTGCGAGGGCAAATCTGTTCCGTAGCAGGCTCAATATGGTGGTGAGATGCTTATCTCGGAGCTAATAAAATGCCGGGAGGAGTAACAGTAATCTGCTATCAAACCATCCCCCCACCCCCCCACCCACCTCCACATAAGCTGGCTCTTTATGAGAGGAGCTGAGCCAGGGGATTGGCTACACATCAGATCTGAGGGGCAAGACGAGGGCACCCTCCAAGCCAAGCCTGTTCTAGCAGCCCTGCTACACACACGTGCGTGCATACACTCGTACACACACGCAGAAACGAAGGCAGGAAAAGCTGCCACTCACTGATGAGCAATCACACCCAGCTTAGCTAGGCTACTGTATTACACATGACTTGGCCTGTCCCCCGTCATACATTCGGAGAGCTCAGTGCTGGGAATTTAAGTGATTTTGGGATTGCCAGGATGGGATGGCCTTTATGGTGATCGTATCTTTTTCTCCTCCTTCAGGAACAACCACTGAAGTACTCCTGAGAAAGGCACTTAATCATCCCACGCTCATGGCCAACAGTAATAGACTTTGCCAAACTCGGACACCAACTTCAAACGTGTGAAACTTGAAAAAAGCCTGATGGTATGAAATTAGAAACCACTGAATAACCTCAGCTCCACTCAACTACTTAGGTCACAAATGTGACACAGTTTCCTCTCCTTGCTAGCTGAGTTCGCCTTAGTAACTGGAATGTGGAAATAAATTAACACACAATCTATAGAATGTTTTATTAAAGCAAATTGTTTCATTTTTTTTTCGCTTTTTAATCACTGAGAACGAACAGAGAAGCATGTTCTAATTTGCAACATTAGTCTTGAAGGGAGGACAACCTCGCCCCAAACTCAGGTTCAGCCCAATGACAAAAGATTATTAACCCTTGTCTCTCTACTCTGTCTATTATGAGAGAGAAATGAAATAAAAGCTGAACTCTTCCAAATTCCAGGCTGGTGTCATTCAACTCTTCATTTCTGCCTCCACCTCACGTCCGATCCTGTCTTTAAAGGGGGGAGAGTGACTTTCTCCTCCCGGAGCTCTTAATCCAGGATCACATCACATCGGGGAAAAACATGGAGGAATTGCACTTTGCAGAGCACCACGGGGGGAGGGGCGGATGAGAGGCAGAGGAGGTGGAAAAGCAGGAGGGAAGGTAAAGAGGACCTCATCAGCACATTGTTGGAGCTTAGAGAATGGGCGTGAAGCAGACGGGAAAGGATGAATAAAAGAACCACACAAGTATCTGGAGGGCTACTGTGAACAGTATTTTTGCAGGTTTTCATTCAAAACAAAATAGTCAGAGACCAAAATCAGTGAAATAAGTTGGTGTAGCATTGGGTGACGACGATGAAGAGCAAGGGGCTCACCTTCTAAACGGTAGTGTTCATCACCAATCCCCTCTGCACATGCTTCATCCATGGATTCCTGCAAAGAGAAAAAGAGAGAACAAGACACATATATCACTGTTTCAAGTCATATAATGGAGGATATCATATTTTTGTCACATAAAAACAAACATTTTTAATGGTGCAAATCCACAGCACTGCTTTCCAACACAGAGTTACATGCCCAATCAAAATTACAGCATATATATATATATATGAACAGAGTTTGACAACTGTGGCTGAGCTTAAACAGCAGCGGAAAGTTTAAGAGGATGATAATTGAAGGACTGAAACAAACAGCATAAGACTGGCAGTCAGAATAGAAACTATGAAAGTATCGCCACGGCCAGCCCTGCAGGGAATTCTAAGAAAGAGGGCTGGTAGTAGGGCTATTTCAATGCCGGACAACCATTGCAGCTATACGTTCATAGGCTTGTTTTTATCCTGGACTGTTTTCACCCCGGGCCCCCTCTCCTGGCAGCTCTGTCTGTTAGTGCATACCACAGAGACTGCAGGGACATGTAATCCCAGGCTTCACTATGGAAAAGTCCGGCTCAGGTATCCATGTGGCATTACAATCATCTGTCCGAAAAATCATTACTTGCAGGCTGACAAACGCATGTGCACGCACACATCCGTACACACATAGTCCAACGCATACACACACATTCAAAGACCTACCCCATGCCTCATTTTAAAGTTTTCCACTGCACCCAATCTAACACAAAAGGTCTTTCTCTCATCAAAAACTACATAAATTGCACACAGACTATTGCTGCTGCCACAGAACATATTAACAGCACTCTTATCATAGGCTATGGTTATCCTTAATAATTAATAATTAACTCCTTAAAATGGAGTGTAGGACATAAGTGTAGGAGCATGTGTGTTTATTGTAAGCCTGTACATACTTGTGTTTTCATAGGTGTGTGTTAGTGTGTGTGTTTGTGTGTGTGTCAGGCGAGGCTGTGACAGCGTGAGAGGGGATTTCTGTGTAATCCAGAGAGGTAAAAGGTCAGACGGTGTGATCCTACCCTCCTCAGACTAGTGCCGGCCGTGCTGCAGCGCTGTGGGTGGCCTCAGGAAGAGAATATGGCAAACAACAGGACTAACTGGCTAAAGCAGGGACCTGGGATAAACCTGAGTTTGTTGTTGGTATAAATGGGTCAAATGGCTTCAAGACCCTGGTTCTGAGCTGGTTTTAATACAGTCTGCTCAGCTTTGGTATGACGAGGGGGAAATAAGCAGGATTACATTATGGTTTATACAGAATGCAGGCAAATCATAGCAGAAACATGAACTTTACTTAAACTGGAAACCGAATGTGTTTTACTTCACCAAATTATTATAGATTTCCTAGACACTCGTGTGGGACACCCAGGTAGCTCACCTGGTGGAGCGCGTACCATTAAGGTCCTTACCGCAGCTGCCCAGGTTCAATTCCAACCTGGCCTCGCCCCCCTCTGCAGCTGGCACTTTCCAATAGAGGACCTTTGTCCCTTGTTCCGCTTCAGCCCCATGGGACCTTATTTCAGAAAAAATATCTTTTTGTCCCGTTTGAATTGTGTCCTGAATTACACATACGATGTTCATCAATTTAAAATGTAAATTTTGTAAGTCAAGAAAGTCGCAGTTTGTCGTAAAACTGTATAGTAACATTTAGTTTTGTGTAAAAACTGTTCGGTAAACTACATCTCTTGTCTTACACAATATACATCGGCAACATGTTAATGAGGTAATGCTAGCTAACGTTCATTGCTTGGTTGCTACTACCTAGATAACGCAGCTCTGTTCCACGCAGAAATATATCTTACATACACATGTAAGTTCTTTGACGTTAGCTTCAAAAGAAGAAGTTATGACGTCACATACGCAACTTTTGGGTCTGTGGTCTTTGTAATTATGTATTTTCAGTCTTATACTACAGTTTCACAACAAACTGCGACTTTCTTGGGTTTTAAATGTGTCTTCTAAATTGACGGACATCGCATGTGTAATTCAGGGCACAATTCAAACAGGATCAAAAAATGTGTTGTCTCTTGCCATTGACCAATGTACATATTTTTTCTGAAATAAGGTCCCATGGTGGTCCACCAGAAGGGGAGGGTCTTAAACTCTCTATACAGGCAAAAAGATGCCCAAAAATAATCTTATAGCAGAAACTGCAGTTCTGTTCCACATATTTCACTGCTAAACCATAGAAGTACACAGAATCAGATTACATAATTACCTGATAGAGTTACTTTTTCTAAATTTCATTTAGACTGTCCATACACTTCTTCCAACTTCCAAGGACACAGATATTGGTATCACCCGTGTCACTGTGTCGATCTGAATGGGGCAGGCATTAGACTGTGGTAACATCAACACTGGCCTACACAGTTCCACAAGCCTTGCAGAAAAATTCAATCCTTCCACAATCAACATTCCTTCAATTCCTCAAACAAAGACACATACATGCACACACACACATACACACACAGCATCTTGAGTGTATTTCTGTTTTTTGATGAATGATCCAAATTTATTGAGGGGTTAGCCAAGAACATGAGAAAAGGGGGAAGAGGAATGTGCTAATTGGTTGTTGTCTGTAGTGATGGATGGGAGCCGTATTATTAGTACACTAGGGTTACTCTGGGGTTAGTTCTGGTCAGTGTTAAAAAAATATCCCATGCTTTCCTTTCCTTTCCTTTATACACACACACACACACACACACGTGCACACACACACACACACGTGCACACACACACACGCTCTTCCTCCTCCTCTCATGAAAAGTATCTGACCACTAAATAGGAATGGATGTACAAGGAAGCAGAAAATAAACAAGAATTTTCGAAGCGGGGCAGAAAACCCGTATTTCTCATCATTTTATAAGTGCAGTTTTCTTCATCCTGTGTCAATAATTATTTTTGTTTATATATTTCTCAACCTGCAACCTGATTAAGAAACCTTTATGATGCCAGGTACAAAGTCTAAAGTCTAAATCTGTTTCATAAAAATAAATGGGAATATTGGGAGTTTTTGTTCTCCGTTTCTATGGTGACAGCTTTGAACCAAAGACTGCATCCATTTCCCCAGATAATCGCCTTGGCCGAGGTTGATCTGACACACTCATCCTTACAATCTGTCCTAATGCAGTCTCTAAAGAGCACCTCCATTCTGCCTGGCCTGATGAAACTACCACTTTCAAGCTTAGCTCTCTGGTTTCCAGCTTTGGCAGTGATTGATAAGAGTGTCCTGTGCCAAAAAAATAAACATGTAGGATTTCTAAAAATATCATATAAATAAGTGTTTGTGTCTGGGGTTCCTGTGTTCACACCAGCCAATTGTTCACAAGAATAATGAGAATTTCTCTGCCCAGCTCCAGAAAAAGAAGGATTTAAATGGCAGAATTTACAGTTGTAGCTACACTATTCAGACTCAGGAGAAAGACATGAATCTCTATCCTCACTAGTAACTTAACAGTTCGGTCACTCCTAATAGGGAAAGACTGACAGAATTATTGGTCCTAATTACTAAGGTGCTCTGGCTCTTCTCTTTCGCTAGACTCTAAACTCTCTTGCTTCTTGTTTGATTTAGTAATGTTGTTTAGTTATGTGTTTGTAATAATAATAATAACAATACATACTAAATAATTAACAGTTGTAGTGACATTGACACTAGTAGTGACAACAGCCATAGTAACTGCATGTTAAAGATGGTGTTAGACAAGAAAGTCAGTCAGTACAGTTTGTTAAGCCATAGAGAATAAATGCTTGAACTCACTCCCTTCAGTTTGATTTGAAATGAAAGAGCTTAAAGTGGATTTGCCCAAAACTGCAATGCTGGTCATCTCCACTCCAAAGTCTTTTCTCAACTAATGAGTAAAGACGAGGCTCAACTGATGCAACATTTGCAAACAGTTAGTGAATCTGAAAACTAGGTCTCATTAAATTCCAGCAAACATGCTATGCGTGCACAATGACCATGATATATTTAGGGGTGGGAATCTCTGGGCACTTCACGATTCAATCTGATTACGATTCAGAGGGCTGCGATGCAATTACGGAACGATTATCGATGAATCTTGATGCATAATTTTTTTCTATACAGGATAAGCACTAACCACCTTTTCCAGCAGTTGGGGAAACTACAGACTTGTCACACTGCACGTTTACTGCCAGGCTGAAACTTGCAGCTGATATTTTTCTCCGCTAACTTTCACCGTCATGTTCTGCCACTCGCTTTCTCTCTCATTCGCTCGACATCAAACACAGGAAACACAGAGAGCTGCCAACCATTTAGTGTCACCATGCTCGCACAGTGTGCGAGTTAAAATCATTACTTGCGCATTGATGTTAATGATTATTTGAGATTTTAGTAGGAAAGTTGTTCATTCCACAGCTGTGGTGTGTTGAATATAGTGGGAACACTGGTCTCTCTGTTGTGTGCGCGCCACAGACGGTCCGGGCACTGCACTTCCGCGAGTCCCACCTTTTGCTTTCCGTCAACATTACCTTATCAATTAACATTTAAATAATCGCTTTTTGACATTTGCTAATCGAGTCAGAATATTCCACGTCTGCATCGCAATGCCTCTAAGAATCGATTATTTCTCCCACCCCTAGATATATGATACTATACGTCTATTAAATGACCACAAAAGAGCAATCAATCGTTCGGTGCAGCTATGAGCCAACGATGGACTTCTGAGAGGTCACTGTGGGAGAGCATTTCAGGGCAAAAGAGAAGCCAAAGCACCCTCCCACCTGCAATAGCTGAACCACAGCTTATGAAAATGGGAGGTGGTAACCTCCCATGCAATACTAGTACTATAAAATTAACAATGTATGATTCAGTTGCGCTCCTGATTAACATGGCTACACACTGGGTGTTGCAGTGTACATTGTGTTTCTCTCTGTAGCTTGGGGTCTAAACAGTTTTATAACATCCACAGCAAGGTGTCACTTCCCCACATTTCTGCAGGATTCAGTCAGAGGTGCTGGCTTCAGGACACAAACAAGCATCTTTGTACGGCACCTGGGACCAGCTAAAAC